GTAGTGGAGTGAAACACCCTACAGTCAGTATGAAGGACCCTCTGTGCGTCAGCTCTGTGTTGGTAACAGGGTCTCCAGTGTAACGACCTTTAAACGGATCAAACCGTGCAAGCAAGCTCATTATTATAATCATGATCTCATTCGCCTGCACGATTCATTACGAGCATTTCAGAAACACCCGCGGAGTGAGGCTGAATTCCTCATTCAGGTTAACACTATTAGCCGTCATGTTCAAGCAGCGGTTCCTGGTCATGTGATCATGAGACAGAGGTGCTCCAAACATGGTCTGAGAGAGTGTGATATTTATAAGTGCTGGAGTGGGAGTCTTTTGGTACCTCACGATTCGATTCGGATGATTCTTGAGTTTATGATTTGATTCAAAACAATGATTCGAGGTCACGATTCAAATCAAAACAATTCTTGAGTTCACTATTTGATTCAAAACAATGATTCTTGAGGTCACGATTCGAATCAATACAAATCATGAAGTCACGATTCGATTCAAAACAACGATTCTTGAGGTCACGATTTGGATCAAATCAATTCTTGAGTTCACTATTTGATTCAAAACAATGATTCTTGAGGTCACGATTCGAATCAAAACAAATCTTGAGGTCACGATTCGATTCAAAACAACGATTCTTGAGGTCACGATTCGGATCAAATCAATTCTTGAGTTCACTATTTGATTCAAAACAATGATTCTTGAGGTCACGATTCGAATCAAAACAAATCTTGAGGTCACGATTCGATTCAAAACAACGATTCTTGAGGTCACGATTCGAATAAAAACAATTCTTGAGGTCACAATTCGATTCAAAACAATGATTCTTGAGATCATGATTCAAATCAAAACAATTCTTGAGTTCACTATTTGATTTAAAACAATGATTCTTGAGGTCACGATTCAAATCAAAACAATTTTTTTTTTTTTTCAATTCTTGAGTTCACGATTTGATTCAAAACAACGATTCTTGAGGTCAAGATTCGAATCAAAACAATTCTTGAGGTTACGATACGATTCAAAACAACGATTCTTGAGGTCACGATTCGAATCAAAACAAATCTTGAGGTCACGATTCAATTCAAAACAACTATTCTTGAGGTCACGATTCAAATCAAAACAATTATTATTTTTTTTTTTTTTCAATTCTTGAGTTCACTATTTGATTCAAAACAATGATTCTTGAGGTCACGATTCAAATCAATACAAATCTTGAGGTCACAATTCGATTCAAGACAATTATTCTTAAGGTCACGATCTGATTCAAAACAACGATTCTTGAGGTCACGATTCAAATCAAAACAATTCTTGAGTTCACTATTTGATTCAAAACAACGATTCTTGAGGTCACGATTCGATTCAAAACAACGATTCTTGAGGTCACAATTCGAATCAAAACAAATCCTGAGGTCACAATTCGATTCAAAACAATGATTCTTGAGGTCATGATTCGATTCAAAAGAAATCTTGAGGTCACGATTCGGTTCAAAACAACGATTCTTGAGGTCACGAATCGAATCAAAACAATTCTTGAGTTCACTATTGGATTCAAAACAATGATTCTTGAGGTCACGATTCAAATCAATACAAATCTTGAGGTCACAATTCGATTCAAGACAATGATTATTAAGGTCACGATCTGATTCAAAACAACGATTCTTGAGGTCACGATTCAAATCAAAACAATTCTTGAGTTCACTATTTGATTCAAAACAACGATTCTTGAGGTCACAATTCGATTCAAAACAATGATTCTTGAGGTCACGATTCAAATCAAAACAATTGTTGAGTTCACTATTTGATTTAAAACAACGATTCTTGAGGTCACGATTCAAATCAAAACAATTATTATTATTTTTTTTCAATTCTTGAGTTCACTATTTGATTCAAAACAATGATTCTTGAGGTCACGATTCGAATCAAAACAAATCTTGAGGTCACGATTTCATTCAAAACAACGATTCTTGAGGTCACGATTCGAATCAAAACAATTCTTGAGGTTACGATACGATTCAAAACAACGATTCTTGAGGTCACGATTCGAATCAAAACAAATCTTGAGGTCACGATTCAATTCAAAACAACTATTCTTGAGGTCACAATACGATTCAAAACAATTCTTGAGGTCACGATTCGATTCAAAACATAATCATAAAAACTTTGTAAAAAATATCCAATATTTTTATATTTTTATATTATTTTTATAATAATGCATAGCCCACAGAGGCCATGCATTATGATGTTTCCGTCTCGTTTCCTGTAATATTGATAAATGTCATCATAACAAAAACAGAATAAGAGTATTGTTTACAAATAAACTGCTAAAAATTACTTTCATCCTAATTGTTTCCAAATATATAAAACATTGAATTATATATATATATATAATATTGTGTATATACATTATTTTTATATAAATTAAATAGTGCCGTCAAATCAAATCAATTAATTACGATGTTATATATCACACATATTATACTATTTATATTTACAGAC